TATAAATATATATACACACACACACACACACACACACACACACACACACACACACACACACACACACACACAGGAATATTATGCAGCCATAAAGAAGGACAAATATATGGACTTAACAGCAACTTGCATGGACTTGCAGTCGATCATACTCAGTGATCTATCACAGAAAGAAAGAACAGAGCACCATATGTTTTCACTCATAAGCAGACCTTGAACAAATTATAATGCTATAAGAGAGCGTTTGACAGTGATGGGAAACTGTCAGGGGTGGGGGGTGGCAGTTGAGGGAAACTGCTAGGGGAGGAAGGGGCACACCTCATCAACAAGGGTACCTGCATGATCAATGTTTGTATACCTAACCCTGAATTGTACCCCACATCTTTATAATAAAAAATTAAAAAATAAAAACAATTATAGTGCAGCCTGCCGACCTCCCCACCATTCAGCCATCCTCGGTTTCAGCCCACGTTCCTTCGGGCCTCTTTTCCAGGGGATGTCACCGGCGAGATTACGGAGGGCACCGCCAGGGGGCGCTCATCCCAACCACTTCGCCAACAGCCGGCGCTTGGCGCTCTTTCTTCCTTCCTGCCTCTCGCTCACCCCAACTTCCGCCGGAAGCGGCTTGTCCCTTGTTGTCCTCCGGTGTTTGGGCTCGCTGGGCAGTGGGCGGTGGGCTCTCCGCGGCTGGCGGGGTGGGGCTGGGTCCGAGGAGCGGGAGCGGGGACACTCGAGTCTAAGCCGGGACGGCGAGATGGACATTCTGAAGTCAGAGATCCTTCGGAAGCGGCAGCTGGTGGAGGACAGGAACCTGTTGGTGGTGAGGAGCCCGGGGCGCAGGGGCTGGGGCTGGAGGAAGGTCCGTGGGGTGGGGGGAGGTGATGCAGGACATAGAAGACAACAATATCATAGAAAACATCAACAAAACAAAAAGTTGGTTCTTTGAAGGAATTATCAAGATTGATGGACCGCTAGGTAGAATGACCCAGAAAAAGAGTGAAAAAGCCCAAATAAACACAATCAGGAATACAAAAGATCAAAGCACTATTGATCCCAAAGAAATACAAAATATTATCATAGATTACTATGTATACCTATATGGAAACAATCTTGATACCCTAAATGAAATGGAGGACTTTCTGA